GTAAATCAAGATAAAACACTATTTAATCAATGTTAAAAGAAAAAAGTATTTTAGATCATTAAAGTTTATGAAAACAAAAAAAAACAAATAAAACTAGAGTAGAAAAATAAAAAATTAGGAGTAAGGAAATCAGAAATATTACATTAATGATAATAAGTATACTTCATGTAGACTAAGGCAGATGTACACTTTCTGGTGGTATTAAAGGGAAAATTGAGTGTTTATGGAGGGAGTAGTGCTATGCCTTGTGCTGTCCAAATAGACATAAGATTATAGCTTTGATATAGGTCATAGAGATTGTCTGTGTTGGATATAACAGATGGTTCTAATGAATTCTGATTGGTCACCAGACCATGTTTTGCCATTGCACTGTTTATGGCCAAGCGTATGGCTGAGATCTGCCATATGATTGACCTAGGTTTTGTCACTGTGTGGGAAGACAGAATTATCTATATATTGTTACCTGGACAAAGCGGAATTCTCTCCAGTTCACGGCGTTACTAACAGATGGCAATGACGTTATTCCCAAGAGAACATAGAAGAAAAATCCCAGAATTCCTAGAGCTATGTACGTGTCTGACCTCCAGGCCACGACGTTTAGGAAGGGGCTGGTTTCGTTCTTCTTGACCTGTTAAAGATGCTTCATGTTTAGTCATTGCTTGAATTAATGTGTCATTGAGATTTTTCTTACTCATTTTGTCTATGGGCTGCATAGAAAATAACATTGTTTCTGCAAGATAATATTGCCTTGTTTGTACCAAAATACAGGATATATGTATTACTTTGTAATGTAAGATAGTGACAAAGGTATTGCTGAATTAATGGGCCCACAAACAGGAATGCAAAAATGAATTTTGCCCACGAGGGGTATACAGGTGCAGGAGCTGATAGTGGTTATATTTAAACAAAGAGAGCTCCAATAGCATAATTCTGTTTTGCTAAAAAGTCATACGAATGCAAAAGTAGGATGTTTAGGTGCACTAAGTTCAATGAAATTCTTGTACAACTGGAAGCTCCCGTACTTAGTGAAGGCCCTCTCCATGGTGGTGAATACCACAAATATCTGATACACTGGCTGATGGAGTTTTGTATATATTGGTCACATGTGTGGCTTTATTTAATATACTGATGGTGGATACAAAATGTATTGTACCATATAAGCTGCAGGTTTGTCACAAGTCAGTGACTGCAAAAGTACTCGTTAGACAACTTGTATCCTTTGAAGGAGGTCAGCTATGGTAGCCCAACCACACTTCTCTTAGTACACACTTTCTTTAAAAATATCTGCACCTTGCTGAACCCTCACAACCCATGAGAAGCTATGTGAAATTCACTTTGAAATTCAACCACCGTACCTGCGCAATGGTGCCGGCTGCTATCCTGTGCCTTACGTAATATCGAATTGGAATCACCAGAGTGTAGATGGCATGGAGAAAGGCATAGGCTAGGGCAACCAATCCCAGCTGTTTCCTACACAACATCCAGCGGTCCAGCCAGTTGGGGAAGCGGCTGTACTTCGTGCTGCGATACAGTTGAATAACAGCAGCAAACACTCCTGGAAGGTAGACCAAGGCCAGCAGCATGAGCGAGACGATGGGGAAGACCTTGTTGGGAATTGAGATGGCCAGTCGGAAGGAGACGTCTTTTTCAAGGACAGCTGCAGAGTAGACAACGTCGTTGATCATGCAGTAAAGGAACACGAGCACAGTTAGTCCTGCGCATAGGTAGATGGGGAGTCTCCACATAGGAAAAAGCTGTAGGGGGTAATTCTCTATTTCTTTAGCTGCCACTAAAGATCCTTTATCTTGTGGCGTCAACCCAATGGCACGCACAATGTCCATTACCTTCTGTTTAGCTGTGTTGTCATCTGAGCAAACAAAGACCTGCCATAGAAAACACACAGATTAGTATGTAGGGAAGAACTTTGGTATACACATAACCATTGCTATAGTTTCTAATTGCAGCCACTTAGGGGGTGGCAGAAAGGAACAATAGGGTCTGGCCCCAGTAACCACCTAGGCACCGACATTGCCTCCTGGGACTAAACACATGCACTACCCCTGTAACCACCAAGGCGCCAACATTTTTGATAATTTCTTGCACTCGGGCAGGGGGGCCCTTAATGGTTTCTTGAACCGGGACGCTGAGGTTTCTAGATACGCTTCTGGGTCTCCTACTACTGTCTTTGTAGGATGAATATCTGGTGAGCACAGTCTAGAGAGGGGAATCTGGAATTGTTAATCTGTAGTCTCATCAGGACCAGATGTGTGGAGAATCTCCTCCTTATCGTGGTAAAGGCTTCCATTAGGGAGAAAGTTGTGGATGGACCGCTGACTTTTTCTGAACCTATTTATGTTGAACTTTGCTTTAAAAAGTCTTTTACTTTCTCTTTATAGTCATGAAAAAATATTTTACTACTTTGTATCATCACATGGTATCATTTTGAACTGTTTTCACTTTAAAATGCCTTTAAATACCTATTTTCCTTAGTGAAAATGCATTCCCTGGTCTTCTACTATAGTGCTTCATGCTGCCAGAGCTGAGTACTGGCCATATCCACCTCATGTCTTAAATTATTTTTCAATTTATTGTAGAGCTTAACTTTAATTGCTCATTCTTTATGGTACAGTGCAGCACAGTGACCTTGCAGTGCTGGTGTTTAATTACCACCAGGGAAACAGTGTTCACATGATGTTCTCATGTTGGTGTGGGTCTTCTCTGAGTGTGCTGGTTTATTCTCGCTCTCAGGTAGTCGGGTAACTGGCTTATGTCTAGACTGTCCCACTCATGTATTTGCTTATATGACTATGGTCACAACATTAGAGTGTAAGTTTCTTTGGAGCAGAGACTGATGAAACAATATCAATGTGCTCTATTTGTTGCAGTTATCTAAATATAAGTGTAATAATCATTGGTTACCTGTCTGCTGGCATCCAGGGTTCCAGATTGCAGAGACCATGCTGACACTGTGTTAAATGCTTTGACGACTTTAGCTCTTGGTAGCATCTGGGCCAGGTATTCCGCATTGGATTCTGGGTACTGGTCTATCTTCAGGTTGTTGCTTATGTCCACTAAGACTTTTCCCTCTAAAACATCCTCAAGTTCCCTGAGAAAATTGTCATAATGATCCCTCTGTACAGCCACAATGATCAGTGGGCATTTTTGCGCTGCCTCTGCATGGCCAAACACTTCCACCCCCTTGAGAAGCAAGCTAGCGCTGGCAGGGTTCCGGCTCCCAAATATCACATGGAAGCCACTTTGTATCAATTTAAATCCCAGTGATCGGCCAAAGTCCCCAGTTCCAAGAATACAAATGCTGTAGTTCTTGTCTGTGATATCCGAGCTTAGGGGGAGCAGGTTGGTTCCGTTGGTTTCCATTGTCTGAAAAAGACACACACATATAAAGTTATCTTTGTGGCTCGGTATCAGTAGCCATTCAACAAGAAACAAGTAATCCCTTCATGACCAGGAGTTTTTAAGGTCTGTACAGTGTAGAGCAATTCATACATTACAAGAATGTAGGTGAAAGCAAGAAAGCAAAACCTCAGCAGCTATTTTTCACCAGATTTTTCAGATCAGATTACTGAGTGCAATTAAAATTACTTCAAGGGACAGGGGTGCTGCAAAAACAAATAATTGACCTACAAACCCTCTACAGGTCTGGAGTGCACAGTACTCTCTCTACAATAAACACCCAAATGTTATAGCCCTGGCTCTGATCAGCGTGTTTGCTGATCCTCGTTGCTTGGCTTGGCTACATGGATACCAGATCTTTCTCTGGGCCTCCTGGATTCCTCTATTATCTTCCGGTCAAACGATCTTTGATGCCTGGTGGTAGACGGAGGGTGCAGATGGAGGATGGCCTGCCCCTGGATGCATATATGTATCACCAAACACACTGTTTGAGGGCTACAACAGAATGATCACATTATTGTTCCCATAGATAGGTCAAAACATACAAAGCTACTAACCAAAACCACTACCACTAGGACCTCTCCAGGAAGTTTTCATTTTGGTTAGCATTGTTGTACGTTCTGAACTTTCAATGGGAAGTAATGATAATTGGATTTACTGATCTGATAGGTGAAACATGGCTGCTAAAGCTTTGCTTTCTTGGTCACCTCTGCGCTCCCAGATAGGTGATTGGACAGTGAAGTGATGGCAGTGCACTGATTAGGTGATTCATACGTTTTTGCCTTCTATAAGCATGTTGATTGTTAAATTGACAGCATTGTGCAATGCAATAGTCCTAACTGGTCGGGGTACCTTGCTTTCTCTAACTCCCGGAGTGCTGTAGTACAGGAGATTGCAGAATTGCCAATCTAAACACGGATTATGGTATTCATGCTACCTGTAATTAGAACATATTGACAGATAGATAGATAGATACACTATATTGCCAAAAGTATTGGGTCTCCTGCCTTTACATGCACATGAACTTTAATGGCATCCCAGTCTTAGTCCGTAGGGTTCAATATAGAGTTGGCCCACCCTTTGCAGCTATAACAGCTTCAACTCTTCTGGGAAGGTGTCCACAAGGTTTAGGAGTGTGTCTATGGGAATGTTGGACCATTTGTGAGGTCAGGTTCTGATGTTGGACGAGAGGCTGGGCTTGCAGTCTCCGCTCGAATTCATCCCAAAGGTGTTCTATCGGGTAGAGGTCAGGACTCTCTGCAGGCCGGTCAGGTTCCTCCACCCGAACCTCGCTGATCCATTTCTTTATGGACCTTGCTTTGTGCACTGGTGCGCAGTCATGTTGGAACAGGAAGGGGCCATCCCCAAACTGTTCCCACAAAGTTGGGAGCATAAAATTGTCCAAAATGTCTTGGTATGCTGATGCCTTAAGAGTTCCCTTCACTGGAAGTAAGGGGCCAAGCCCAACCCCTGAAAAACAACCCCACACCATAATCCCCCCTCCACCAAACTTTACAGAACACGTCTCCACTTCCCTAGAGGCCAGCGGCGGCCTGCTTTACACCACTGCATCTGACGCTTTGCATTGCACTTGGTGATGTAAGGCTTGGATGCAGCTGCTCGGCCATGGAAACCCATTCCATGAAGCTCTCTACGCACTGTTGTTGTGCCAATCTGAAGGCCACATGAAGTTTGGAGGTCTGTAGCTATTGACTCTGCAGACAGTTGGCGACTTCTGCGCACTGTGCACTTCAGCATGCACTGACCCCGCTCTGTCATTTTATGTGGCCTACCACTTTGTGGCTGAGTTGCTGTTGTTCCCAGTTGCTTCCACTTTGTTATAATACCACTAACAGGTGGTACTAGCAAGGAAATTTTTAGGGAACACTTGAATCCAATGATTTGGAGGGGTGTCCCAATACTTTTAGCAATCTAGTGTAGATAGATAGATAGTTTCACAAGTACACGCCAAACAAACATGAACGCTTGTAGGAGGACTGAGAACAGAGTCTGAACATGACATTACATGTCTAAGCTTTGCTCTCTGGTTTAGCCATGAATAAATTTAGTAGGTTAGGTAACCTGTTATCTCTACTTTCTGCCTTGTCGCTATGTGTTAAATAACTATCATAAAACTTGAAAAGACAAAGTACAGAAGGAAGCTGTATACATACTGTATAAGGAGGAAGTAGTATACATGCACAAAGTGCAGTCAAAAGAAACCCCCATGTATGTATAGGCATTTGATATAAATGATTTCTGTGCTATATGCTCGGTTTCTGTAAAAATACCAGAACTTTAAAAGCTGGGTGACTCTATGCAGAGAGAGCTCCCCCGTAGTTACCCCACAATTAATTTGCCTGCAATGTACTAAAGCTTCGATTTACTACTTCTATCACTTCCCCGACTTGGTGTGTGCCAAGAACATGACAAGGTAGAGTTATGCAAAAATGTAAGGAGCCCGTAGACAGTGGAGACTTTGGAAATATCAGCCTTGCACATTTTCCATCTGCTGGTTATTAGTTAGCACTGCAGTTTAGATATCTGCTGTGCACACCTGACCATTTTTAGCCACCTATAAAAGGGAATTCAGAACGACCACCTAGTGTCTGATCAACAGGTTTGTCTGTTTGCCCAAGCCCTGGATAGAGGTCTGTCTGTCTCTACCTTCTGTCTGACTGTTCATGCCTTGGATTATTCCTGTGTGTTAGCACTGTGTTTGCATTCACATTGTCTGTACTTAACATGATTATCAGTCTGTTACCTCTGCTATTGTGAATCATTGCTTTGTTTGCCTGTATGAAACCTAGACTTTGTCTGTACATGACCTGGTCATCAGTCTGCTGACTCTGCTTTTATCTGTCCTTTGCTCTGATCATGTATTTGAGGGCCTACACTACTCCAGACCTGTCAGCTGTTGCTGCTCACAACACAGTTGGTCTATCAACCTGCATGAAAGCTGCGAACTGTGTGGGGACAAACAGGTGCCGTTGAGGGCACAATGCCCCATAAATAGGAACCAATGGCTTGATCAAACTTTGCTATGGGAGACAGGAAAGGAGGAAGATTATACCTCCTACTAGATTGTAAGCTCTCCCTCCTACCTCCTGTACTGAAATTGTATTGTTAAATGTATTGTCTCCATCAGTTTTGTAAAGTGCTGCGCAAACTGTTGGTGCTATATAAATCCTGTATAATAATAATAATAATAATAATATAGAGTTCTTAGCAACCTGTGATTCTCTGTGCTGCTTTCTGCCCAGCTTACTGATATCACCGGTTGCCAGGAGCTAAGCAGGACGCTCTGGCTTGCATCCTGCTCAGCTCCTGGTATCTGGGATTTCAGTGAGCTGGGCAGAAAGCAGCACAGAGAATTACCGGTTGTTAGGAGCTAAGTAGGACGCTCTGGCTTGCATCCTGCT